GGGCAAAGCGGCACTTGCTCAGCTTGGCRTAGAAGCCAGGTCTGCGCAAGCGGTCAAGGACGTCGCGGAGGTGTCTGAGGTGCTCCTCAAGGGTACGACTGTAGACCAGGATATCGTCGAGGTAGACGAGAACGTACTGCTCCAGGATGTCCCTGAAGATGTCGTTCATCACCCTCTGGAAGGTAGCGGGTGCGTTGGTGAGGCCGAATGGCATCACCGTAAACTCGTAGTGGCCGAAGCTCGATCGGAACGCGGTCTTCGGCTGGTCGGCTGCAGCGACGCGGATCTGATGGTAACCGCTACGAAGATCAATCTTCGTAAAGAAGCGGTTGCCTGTTAGGCGGTCGAACAACTCATCGGAACGAGGCATGGGGTAGTTGTTCTTAACCGTGTAGCGGTTGAGACCGCGGTAGTCGATGCAGAGACGAAGAGTTCCATCCGCTTTGCGAGCAAAGAGGACCGGTGCACCCCACGGGGAGTTGCTGGGTTTAATGAAACCCAATCCCAGGAGCTCCTCAAGCTGACGCTTGAATTCGGTGGCCTCGGGGATCGAGAGTCTGTAGGGTGCCTGGTGGTGAACACGATAGTCAGGCACAAGCTGGATGGAGTGCTCGACATCGCGCATCGGTGGGATGCCAGCGTACGAGAACGACGATGGGAAAACGTCGTGGTACTCTCGAATGAGGTCACGAACGGCGGGCTTCAGGTCAGCCGTATAACGTGCGAGTTCCTCAGCGTCAGCGTCAGCGTCAGCGCGCGGCGGCGGGGTGGACTCGACGGACGGCGGAGGTTGGGAAGTAGAGATGGGAGCCATGGAGATAGAAGGAGTATCTGGCTCCAGAGAGATGAGCTCAGCGTCGGGACAAGGTGGACCATAGTGTAAGAGATCCGTCACGCTCACCATAAAGAAGGTGACGTCGTCCTGTCGGATGAAATGGGCGAACTGTCGAGGCGAGGTGACAGTGATAGAAGGAGATTGTGTGGGCACGGAAGGCTCCGGGGGAGGAGGATCGGGGCGTGGTGTCGCAGTGGTACCTATGAAAGGTATGCGATATGTCTGTCCACACTTCGTTTTGAGAACGAGAGTGTTGGTCGCCCAATCGGCCTCGGTGCTACGGAACCGACGAGACCACAAAGTGTCGAGAATGAAGTCGTACCCCGTCTCCATCACATCGAAATGTGCAGAGGAGCGGTGGCGACGAGACGCCGGGGAACGATCAGTCGGCTCGAGAGTGAGAAAGAAGGGGAGGTCGGTGACCGTCTGATCGAAGAAGCGTTGGGTCTTGTCATCCCCTAGGGTAACGGAGATGGGAGTCGAAGACCCTGTCGTGGGTAAGCGGGATTCTTTCACCATGCGTGGGTGAATGAAGTCGCCCTCAGAACCGGAATCCCACAGCGCTGAGTACACCCTCGTGGAGGTCCCGAGTCGTACTGGGATGATCGGGAGGGTGCGATCAGGGTGAGAGAGGATGGCGAGAAGGCGACGCAATGCAGCGACATGGAGGGTGAGTCGCTCCTGACGAGCCTGGAGCATGCTCAAGTCCAGAAGAGAGGACACAACGTCCTCGCGAGTAGCRAGCTGCTCGCTGCAACGGGCTGAGCGAATGGCTCGACGCGTCGGTAGTCGCGGCGGGGAAGGAGGGGAGACGGTAGTATGCGGAGGCGCAGACGGTACTGTGACAGAGGGCTGAGTACACTCTGTCGAGTCCTGCGATACCTCAGCTCCAGTAGCGAGAGGGGCGAACCGCAACGGAGATGTCGGGAAGCCCAGTACGAAGGAGGGCACAGGTGTACACTGCACCATGGCTAGGACGCGCCGCGGGGATGCGAGGCGCCGGGGGGGGACTGAGCACGACGCTGGCGGGAAAGGTCAGCGTAGTGGCGGTCGAGGGCGGTAGTGTAAGGGCACCGCGAGGAGGTATGACCGTCCAAGTGGCAGCGCAAACACCCACGCCAGCCCAAAATAGCCGCTCGCTCCTCAGCGGAAAGGACACCGTGAGGAGGGACAAAGCCCTGAGGGAGGTCCTGCTGAGGGACGTCGGGGGGCGACGCGCCAGCGTGACCGGGGCGGCTGTGTGCCCGGGAAAAGGTGGAGAGGATGAGCTGGAGGCGCTCATCCATAGGGAGAGTAGGGTCCTCCAAGTGGTGGTGGACGGCGTCGCCGAGGTCGAGGTCGGCGCTATGGTCACCCTCTGGTGAAAGCGGGGCACCAGCATCCTGCTCACCATACTCGAGCGTGCTGAAGCGGCGCGAGAAGTGGCGGCCCTGCTATGTGGAACGGCGGGGGCGATCGCGGAAAGGGGAACGGCGCTGGGAAGTGCCGTGAGAGGAGGAGGAGGCGTAGCCCGTGCGCTGAGGCTGAGAGAAGCAGGCGGGGTGAAGACGGGCCCGCATCCGCTGATGGTCTCTGGCGGCCTCGTAAGCCTGCGGGGCCGATGTGAACTCGTACCGCCATAACTCGGAGCGGTACTCGAGAGGAAGGCTGGCCAAGAAACGATCGATAAGGGCCGCCTCGGGGAGGAACGCCATGTCACAAATGAGGCGGGCGTCCTGAAAGACCTGGATGTGGCGATCCAAGCCGGCAGCGCCACCAGAGCCGGACCAGCGTGTAGTGACGACACGCTCGAAGGCGTCAGTCACGTCATATCGGGCTCCGAAGCGATCCTCGAGGAATGCCTGGAAATCCATGAAGGTCGGAGTCCGACCCGCACGGACGGAGTAAGCGTTGAAATCCTCCCAGGCATCGGAAGGACCGCCACGCAGGCGCGTGGAGAGGTGAGTCACCCACGTGTTGGGTGCGACACACATGAGCTGGAGCGTGCGGGTGGCAGACTGTAGCCACCGAGATACGCGTATGCCTGTGCCGTCATACAAGGCAATGTCCGTCAAGCTGACGAGTGGTGCGCCACCGTTTTGGCGGTGAGGAGAACGGGACGTAGGGGACTGCGCTACGGTTGAATAAGTCGGCGCAGGTCCTGGAGGAGGGGGCACAACTGACTGTACGCCCGGGCCACATGGTGGAGCGGCGGGGGAAACAGCGGCAGGCTGCACGGGAGCTGCGGTAGAAGAGGTTGCAGCAACCGAGGGGATGGGGAGGAGGTAGGATGGGGATGGGTAGGGTGCAGGGCGAGGGAAGCGAGCCTGCATGGAGGGAAGAATAGAGAAAGAAGGGGGTGCGCCGGAAGGCGCGGCCACCTCTGAGGGTGGGGGAGGCTGAAGGCGTGTGAGGGCGAGGTCGACCCGGAGCTGGGCAATCTCGTCCTCGAGACCTCGAACATAGGTCGAGCGAGGTGTGGCAGGAGGAGACGCACGAGCGGCGCGAGGCATCCCACAAGGGTAAGAGCCAGATGGCGCTGCGGTCGTGCGAAGGGGAGGGAGAAGCGGGGCACCCAGAAAGGCTGCGACCATGGTAGCGGGTTGTGGTATCGTGGCCGTAGTGGCCGGGATCTGGGCGGGTGTGCCCGTAGCCTGCGGGAGGGCCTGACTCGTGGCGGCCGTCATGCTAGGGGCGTGGACAGTCACCAAGATGGTCGGGTCGGGGGCGGCGGAGGAGGAAGCTCCGAAGTGGCCAACCTTTCGGAGGACAAGGTACCCGGACTGGGAGCCAGGAGATGAGGAACACGCGGCATCCTGGAGTAGCTGCATGCCGGCGGCAAGGGTCGCCACCTGCGCCTGTAAGGGCGCGAGGGTTGCGAGTTGCGCCTGAATGGGCGCGAGGGTTGCGAGTTGCGTCTGGATGGGCGCAAGGAGGGAGGTGAGGAGGGTGTGCAGATCCCCCTGGGGCTGGTGGCCCTGGTCCGTCGGCACGGGTGTGGAGCCCTGTGTCGTGGTCTTCGCCGCATCGGCGGCGTGTGACATACCGTCGGTCATGGGGAGGTGACGGACCGGACTGGAGGGGGCTAGGAGAGGTCCGCGTGAGCGGAGGGCGTAGGGGAGAGTCCGCGGTAGAAAGCGGCGGACGGCGCTAGCAAGGCTAGCGTGAGCGAGGGGGAGGGGTGGTTCGGGTCCAGGGTGCACGAAGAGGAAGGGGAAGTAGGGGGGGGTTGAAGAACCCTAAACCATAGAAAAACCCTAAGAAAACCCTAACCGGAGTTTGAGTGGTTAGGGTACGGTGCCGGTGACCTAATCAAGAAAATAAAATAGCAAGCATAAGGGGGGGGAAGGTGGGGGGAAAATAAATAAACAGCGAGATTTCGAGAGAAAAATAAAAATAAATAACGAAATAAATAAATAATAAAAATAATTAAGGGAATAAGTAAACAAAATGTGAAAAAGAAAAATAATATTTTTTTTTTTTTAATTTTCGGCAACATTTCCTTACCCCCCATGGGGTCAAGAATGTGCCAAGGGGAAAGGAGAGACCAAAGTGAGCACACTAGGTTTCAAGATGCCGCAAATAAAAATTTTCAGAAAATGAAGAAAGAAATAATAAATAAATAGATAAATAAATAAATAGGTAAATAAGTGGGTGAGGAGGTGGAGAGAGATGGGATATCTGATTTTTCAAAAATTTTGGCAGCATTTCGTTACCCCCATGGGGTCGAAGTGTGCCGAAAAAGACTAAGTAAGAGAAAATCAGAAAATTTCGGCAGCACTTCGTTACCCCCATGGGGTCAAAACGTCTGCCGAAAGCAAGAAAGACTTACACCTAATCAGATTTAGGGTTGCTGTAAAGAAAATCGAATTTTCAGAATAAATAGAAAAATAAATAAAATAAATCAGAAAATGAGAAAAGAAGGTGGGGAAGAAGATAATTCGAATTAAAAAAAAAAAAAAAAAGATATATCAAAAGAGAGATAGAAAGAAGAAAAACAGAAAAAAAAATTCGAAGTAGGGGGGAAGGAGAATGAAAAAGTGAAGGAGAAAAGAAAGAAAGAGGTGGGGGAGAGAAGAAGATGAAGTGGGAGATAGGGGGATGGTGTGGTGGCAGTTGGGGGAGAGGAGGGTGAGAGAATGGGAGAGAAAGAGGATGGGGAAAGATGGAGAGTGATCAAGAAAGTAAGAGGAAAGAAGGAAGAGAGAAAAGAAAAGAAATAAAGAAAAGAGGGTAAGATAGTGGTTAATGGGAGAAAAGGTGGGGTGGGGAAGGTAAAAAGAGGAGGGGAGAGAGGCAATGGGAGGTGGGGGAAAGAAAAGGGGAGAGAGAGATGATACATGGCCCTTGGTGTCTCCAAGGGCACAAGGTATACCAAGACCAGGAGGGTCCTGGCCTTCGCTGCAGCCAACCAACTGGAGGATGGACGTGGGCTGAGATCTTGATCAGCCCCTAGTTGCAGCACTGCAGATCCAGGGTGTGCTGTGTGAACATACCCTGATGGATGATGATGATGATGTAGGGTTGGCTGAGATCTTGATCAGCCACCCAACTGCCGCAGTCACACAGCCCCCTAGCCAGGGGGAAATCTTGAGTTGCTGCAAAGCTGCTGCTGCAGCAGTAGAAAGATAGTAAAAAAAATTAATAATAATAATAATGTTGTGGCGCAGCCCCCTAACCAGGGGGGTCTTCAGTCCACAGCAAAGTGTCACGTGGCACTGCAGGTGGTCACGTGCACAGGCAGCAGCAGCCACGGGGGGGGGAGGGGGG